TGTCAGCAAGAACAGCTCAGGAAGTAATAGAACCTGTGATGAGACATAAAACCAAATTCTGTCTCTCAGTAGCTGGGCTTGAATGTAACGAAGCTGTAAGTAACATCTCAAGCTGCATACGGCCACCAGTAATTAGTGACGAGGTGGCATCCAAAGCGCTTGTGTTGGGCATCAACAGCATTTTGTCTGGCAGACAAGGCTGGCTGCTGCACTGAGCTCTAGGGGCTCAGCGTGCTCAGGAGAAGTGTGCTGTAAGCAAGGCCAACCCTGCCAAAAGCAAAGGCTTCGCTCCTTGCTACTGCAGATTTGAGGGGTTTAAGTGATACTCATGACAGATGAATTTTAATCAGCCAGCTGCCTCAACATCACCAGTCATCTCTTCTTCTCAGTGAGCCAGCTAGGTGGTCAGCAAGGAAAAAAAGTAGACTATCTCACCCTTCTGATAGTTTTAGGAGATAAATGTAGAAACACAACATATTTTGAGGTGGTATTGCAGTTCTGCAATTAGCCCCATTTTCAAATGCAGTCTTGTGAGCAACTTTGGACACTGTCACTCGGGGCAACTGCTCAGCCACACTCAGCGGGAGTCCTGGAGCCCCTGTGCACATGGCTCTGGGCTGTCCAGCAAGGAGCCTTCTTGATGATTTCTGTCACCCCAATTACAGTCTATCTTAGTAGAAGAGTGAAGACAATTTTTTTCCCCCCAAGAGGAAATTACTGGCCTGTTCCATCCTCTACAGAGCTATTACCACATGGAAGTAGGGCCCGCATCTCATATTCTTGATAGGACCTCACTCACTATTACCTTTCCCCCCTGTTTCAGAAAGCCCTAAGAACAAGCTCTAAACCACAGCAAATTCAGTACTGCACAAAGCTAGCAAGCTTAAAAAGAGTGGCTTGTCTGTGTTACATTTTCAGTAAGCAGGGCTAAAGCTATCCATTCCCTTGATACTTCTCACAAGGAGTTCATTTGAAAATGAAGGAAAATGACCACTCCAGCACATGAATTAGGAAAATCAACCTAACTTGTCTTGGTGTCTGCAGACACCAAAGCACTTAGAAGAGCAGCTGTCACCAAGACAAACAGCTGAAATAAAAGAGGAAGAAAGGGGGCTGAAAAATATCTGCCTTTGCTAGTCCAAATGCTTCTTAATACTCTTTGTGCAAAGATACACTGTTGTTAACATCTGCTCAAAGTTAATCTAAAGAGTTGTCTGCAAATAGCAAAGCTGGTATGCAGCTGCTACTTCACGAAAGATGAACTTCTGTGGGCACAAAATGTGCCATTTTTTGTATTCCCAACAACTCTCTGAACACCACCCTGTACAGAAAAGAAATGAATGGACTTTGTGAATAGCACTTTAGTTGAAATTGGATAGGACTATACCCCGGAGTTGCCAGATAGCAGAGCAACTTAAGAGTCTAGGTCAGAAATATTCTAGACCCTGAGGGTCTGAGCAGTCTGTGAAAGGTGACAGGTGACATCAGTTTGGTTCTTAGACTTAGACTCATAACATGCTAGTCTGTATAGCAGTAGGGGTCAAAACTAATGAAAAAAGTTGTTAGGACTATTTCTCTAGTCTGGTATTAAAACTGCTCTTTAGACTAGGCTCTTTGGGTTCCTCTCCTGGCTGTCTCTATGCTCTAAGATGGTTGCCTGACAGCAGAGCAGTTGGTCCTGGACTCTACTTCAGCAACCCTTTCTCCTTTGATTGGTGCTCAGATTCTATCTGGCCTAATTTATGTCTGAAATGGATTGTAGCTTCCAGAAGCGTACAGATTTTCAGACATTAGCCATAAATGTTCAGAGCTAATTGAAAACACTGTGATGGTCTGTTAAATTGTATAGCTATAATTCAGGTTAGAGGCTAGAAAAGAAATGGTTGCGCAGGAAAAAGTTTCCAACAAAGGTTCATGCAATTTCTTATTTCTGTGAATGTTCACATGAAAACGAGAGAAAAAGGAGGCTGACTGAACCCTGGCTATCTCCTGAGAGCTTGTGACAGCTCCTCAGTAGCTTTCAGGCCTAACTCAAAGCCTTCTGAGCTCAGTGGAGATAGCCATTAACTTTAGTGAATGTTGGACCAAGGTTGTAAGAGAAAAGGAAGCAGATGGGCAGCAGGAGCGAAAGGGATAGGTTTTGTTTCCTAGTTGTCAACCAAAAAAAAATAGAGTATCTTCTGGCCTCAGATCATGGTCTGAAGTTTCTGTTCTGACTTAGCTACTCATCAGTAAGTACTGTTCTAGAAGATAAAGATTCTTCCAGTTGCCCAAATCCTTTCCCTCCTCTTCCCTTTCTTAAAAGCAAACAAGACATTCTCCAGTCATAAAGAAGCATATCCAAAGGTGACTCCGTATTTAAAATCCCTGCTTTTTGTCTGTGCTTTCACAAGGTAGTTTTTTCAAAGTCCTGTGAGGCAGACTGTCCACTTCCTCAGTTAAATCTCTCTCAGTTTTGCCTCCACCTTGCTTACATACACATTCCCATACTTCTGTGCCTGTTTGGGAAACACTTCTTTTGAGACACAGCTCAGCAGCCACGTTTCAGTCTGAATTCTACATGGATCTGTGGTGGCCCCCTATTTTGACAGCTCAAGCAGAGACTGGCAGAGTGGCCCATCATCCCTCAGCACATGTAGGATATCCAGCTAATTCCTGCATCTTTTTGCTGTGAGGCATCTTTGCAGCCTTTACAGAATTTATCTGGTACTAATTCCAAAATAATATCCACTGCTTCTGCTTCTAGGTGAAAATTACTCCTTGAACAGTAAGTCTTTCACATACAAGTCTCTAGAGTATCACAGCAGTGTATTTATGCAGATGGAATCAATAAGGTCTCTTTCCTGTACAACATGCTCCAGGTAACCCTGCTTGTGCAGGAGGTTGCACTAAATGATCTCCAAGGATCCCTTCCACCCTTAATTATTCTCTTATTCTGGCATCTGGGAAATCAGATGATCAATTTTTTTATGTGAAATCACAAATCATAACCCACTACATCATCTCCTCCCATAAAGCACACAGGATTCTGCAATGTGAACAGTGAGTACAGTTTCAGGGTATCTGAGTATTTGGGGGAAAAAAAAGCTGCAAATGCAGTGCTCATAATTCTAGATAACCAGGACAGAGTGAATTCAGTTGCTATGGTTTCAAGCAACAGATAGGAAAGATGTCTATTGTGCCTCAGGCAGCAACAGCTGATTGTGCCACTAAATCCACTTACGTTAACTCTTTTGACTATTCTACCTCACAGTTGTGCCAGCTCTGCTGCAGGTAACATTACTGGCAATAGCAGAAGCAGGAAGGCAAACAGTGTAAGCTGGGCGCCCTGTGGAGAAGTTGTTCTCAGACTAAAATAATACAACTACCCATTAAGGGTGTAAGCAGAACAGCTCCACATTAGCTGCATCCATGCAGCAGTGAAATACCTAAGAGCCATCCACATCAGGATTTAACTGTGGTGTATCGTGCCAATATGTGACAATCAGTTGTTCGCATTTATTTACATGTGATCAAAGAGATTTTATAGCACAGAAGAGAGCTCACTGCCTTAAGAGATCTTGTATCCTTCCAGACACACACTGTACTGCTACACTAGTTTCATTTATCATATGAGTACTAATGATTCTACCAGAGTTTCGTTTGTGCGGCGTGGTCTTAATGTCAGTGATGTGGCAAAGATTCTTACAGTGTATTCATCACTGAAGTATTCCATAAACAGCTCCCTCAAATGCAACAGCGTCTGTATGCTGGCAGCTCAGGTGAGAAGGATATACATTAAAATAGCAGCTAATTTTATTACTACACTTTCTGTGCTCCTTTAATTAGTGGCATACTGACGAAGAGGTATGAACGCAGTTACTTACTCAAATGTGCCCTTTTCTTAAGCATATCTGAAAAGAAGAGAGCACATACACCTCAGGCCCTTTCCCACTGTCAGTCTGGGATCCGAGGCCAGAACTATTTTACTACTACTCTTTAAAAAATATCTGCCATTTTCACTCTTGTAAGTTGCGTGAACCATATGGATACTTTGGTGTTTCATCTCAATGGAAAGCAGACGGAGTGGTATCATAAAGGGCAGAAAATATCCTCTAATATCTGTTTCCAATACTGATTACTAGGGATGCATTTTTAACCACCTGCATCTTTTAGCAAAGGTAGCCAATTAGAGGATCTGTGTTTCCATACGTCCCTGTTGTTCTTCCCTTGTGTCTGCCCACCTAGTAAATATGTATTAGTGCAATGCCTAACCCCTGTGTAGCCAGCTAAATTCATCAGAAGCGTTCTATTTTTTGCACAATAATTCTTTTAAAATATAGTCTCTGCTCTGCTGCAGAGAAGTGCTGTACAGATGAGCACTGTTTGGAGTCAGAGTGACACTCAGTGGCAAGGCAGAAAAAGTGATTCTCAATTTCCTGGATTCTTTCTATCTTTTCTATTTGCAAGATGCATGAAATCTTAATCAGATCTTAATTAACATTTTCTGTTTGTACTATAATACGCTACATAAGCATCATAATTCAGAGCAAACATGTACTTTTGATTATGCAAACTGATAGAGTGGATTACTTACTTCAGCAACTTTCTCATAATTTGTGTGCTGTGATCTCCTGCAATGAGGAAGACAGAAAAACAGAACTTTAGAAAGTGAACTAAAGCTCAACAAAAATGCATTTTAGAAATGAATGACCTCAGTTACCAGTACTGGAATAAATTATGGAATCTTTACTATTAAAGTCTTGACAGGCACCTGATAGAAATCTTTTAGGTGGGCACTTCAGCAGGGGGGTCATGGTGTAGGTTCTCAGGTTTTCACCTTGCCTTTTTTGATATAGAAGAAGGTTCATAGTGTAACTCTGATTATGGTGTCAGCAGTTCTTCTGAGCCTGTGGCTGCCCAAAGGCTTAACTCAGCATTAACAGACAATGAATGAGTTATCATAAAAAAATGTTTCTAGAAAATGAATATCTAAAACAACTGCCATCCGTTTCACACAGGGTCCTGTCGCTTCGTCCATGTCTATGCGATCCGTTCTAAGCAGCGGGCCAGGTCTTTCCCCCCCGCCACCCCCACCTCCTCCACCAGGACCTCCTCCCATCCTGGACACAGAAACCACGAAGGAGGAGGGGACTGCATCTCGCTCAGCCCTATTTGCACAGCTAAACCAGGGAGAGGCAATTACCAAAGGTAAGGAGAAAAGAAATCAAACTGTGGTCCTTCACCCCAGCTACAAGAGCAGCTGCTAAGTGTACTGATCCAAATTCCAACAGCAGTTTTAAGTTTAGGCAACTCAGTTCTTTCTGTGGTGTGCACTAAATCTGATGGATGAGATTGAATACCAAAACCTGCTTTAGAAAGAGCACTCACATAAGTTCAGTGTTTTGGAAAATCAAACTATTTGTTTAAAGGCCTAGTGGCAAATGAATCTCGTAAGTTTTAATTGCAGTCAGAATTTTTCCCTTTCTGCGTCACACTCGGTGTACAAACCTGTGTCAAAACGTGCTATGAAGTTGCACACTCACATATCAGTGTGGAGTGCATCACTTAGGCCTACTGCAGGCCAGGCAGTTGAAAATATGGTAGATGGCAGTGAACTTAATGCATACCGTATCTTCCTTTAATGCTATGGGCTAGATGAAACACAGTCATAAATTAGCCTCATTTTTATAGGTGGAGCTATGAAATTAGTGGAAAAGTAGTTTCCATGGAGCAATATGAAATAGCAAGCAGGCTTCCTACAGAGAGCAACTAAAAGACATTGTTGCATTTCCAGGTAGAGATACAAAGGATAGTCTTCATAACTTAGTAAGACTAGAAAGGACAGTTTATCTGCAATAAGAGAGGTTTTATATGAATTGCTAAAATATGTAGGCAGTTACCCTTTAGGTGGTTACTGAGGCAAATCTCGATAAAGTCAAAAGTTCATTAGATAGTTTAACATTATTACAAGTAGATTAGGTATATTCTTTCTTGTTTAAACGTGAATATCCTTAGGAATGGAAAAGAGGCTCTTTTTCATTAAGATATTTTTTTCAGGGCTTCGACATGTCTCTGATGACCAGAAGACTCACAAGAACCCCAGCCTCCGTGCCCAGTGTCCGCCGGTTCCCTCTCCCACGAAAAGCCATACTCCAAGTCCCACCTCTCCCAAGAGTTCCCCTCAGCAGAGCCATGCCCCTGTCTTAGAGCTAGAGGGAAAGAAGTGGAGAGTGGTGAGTTTCATTAACTCCTTGGAATTGCACTCTGCATGCTGCAAACCAGCCCGAGCCCTCAATGTATCACAAAAGGTTGTCCAGGAGCAAGATGCAACAAATGCATCTTGCAGCTAGGAAGCACTGATTCTGCATTACACTGCCTTGCTGCAGCTATAGCTACTATTCCGGAAGTTCTGAAATTAATTCATTTGTCTCTGAGAATCATATGCTAATTCACCTGAACTAGAGAGTGACAGAACCAACAGAGCAAATGGTGACAAAGCCACACAATCCCCCAGAAGCAAATCCTGTGGAGAATTCCAGTTTAAATCTCTCTCACAGGCCATTCTTAGGAGTTACAATGTTATGTTATGAGATAACATTATTATCACTCTGCACTTTCTCTTTTTGATAGCCAATGCAATTAGATATATTTCTTTTCAACACTAATTCCATACAAACATATCTTGCATGCCTAAATTAGCAGACAAGTGTTCCCTTTTTTTTCAGTTCATGGATAGAAAGATAAGACTAGCTTAAAGCTTGAGGATTCATTTGTGTATGAGGCATATGCCTACATGCGAGCTAAGTCATGTGACTCTTGGTTAAAAGAGGGAGGAAACAATACGTGGTTTATTCATCCATGAATTGAAATAAGCATTTGCTACTGTGGAGAGTAGAGTTTGCGCATAGTGAGGTCAAAATGTCACCTGTCTTGACATCAGCAGGGTATAAAGTTGCCGTCAGGCCTCATAATGCAGAGAAATTTCTTCCCCTGTGATGCATTACTGCTGTGTAATACATCATATTATACATATTGTGTATATTTACATCATATTACACTGATGTGTATGGTGATGCCCACATCTCTTCCTAATGCACTGTACAGAGCATTATATAACATTCGTGGGAGCAGTAACTTGTTCGGTTCTTCAGGGTGCTTGTTCCAGAATCCATGGGAGCCAAGTGACAGTTTTGCCAGTACAGTTTTAAATAGTTGTGTGCATAACGCCTTTGCTCCCAAATTAATACTGTTTTTTTTGTCCTGGTCTATGCTAAGTTCCTCAATTATGCAACTCTAAAATCTGTTCATGAATCACCTAAGACTGAATTAGCTGCAACACCCAATTGCCAGTCAGACTAGACTGTTAAGCCACGGGAAGACTTTTATTCTCTTGCAATTGAAGATGCAGTGACTTAAAGCTAAGTTGTACTACCATCTGCCTGACTGCTGGCTGGTTAGAGACAAGCAACTAAACAGACTTTCTTTTGAAACAGGAATATCAAGAGGATAAGAATGACCTGGTTATTACCAACACTGAACTCAAGCAAGTGGCCTACATTTTTAAGTGTAGCAAATCTACACTTCAGATAAAAGGAAAAATCAATTCAATTACTATTGGTGAGTGGACAGCTCAACTGGCCTCTAAATGCTAATCTGGAGAAAACAACCTTATGTTCTTGGTAACACATGCAAATAGCTCCATTTGCTTTAATGGATTGATCACATGAGCAAAGTTGCTTAGCTGTTTACTGTAAGATGAGGTATTATAAAAGTTAATGTAGCGAGCATGCATGTGTATATATTTTCTTTTTTTGTTTTTCTTATTTATGATTGTCTTTATTTTAGACAACTGTAAAAAGTTTGGCCTTGTGTTTGACAACGTTGTGGGAATCGTGGAAGTGATCAATTCAAAGGATATTCAAATCCAGGTAAATTAATCTCTGTACAAAACACAAAGAATAAAGGCAGAAAAAAAGAGCCCAATATGAACCTACAACAGGTTATTAAAAAGTTCCATGAGCACACTACAGTTAGAGGCCAATGCATCCATATGCATCTTAAACGTGCTAAAGTGGCTACAGAAAGTGGCTATGAAAAGCTACAGAGCATTGCTCAAACCTCCCTTACATTCCAGTGAAGCAGACAAATCTTACATAAAGACAACTATGTCTTCTGGGCCAAATTTCCTTGCTTTCTTGGTAAACACCTCCTCGCACTTGAAAGTTGAGCAGTGCTTCACAGAACAAATCCTGGCAAAGAGCTAATTGATTCCTAATGATGGTTGTTTCTTCTTGTCTTAATTTCTCACTGGAAATGTTGAACTAGACTGTCAAATGACAACTAAATGACATGAAGTGAAAGTAGGTGCTGGAATTTTGAAAATCTCCCTTGTCAGCAACATGCCATGTTGCATGAATAAACAGCCTAATCACTTGCCTGGAAAAGGGCCATGAGTCTGCACTAGTTTCATCTTTGTACATCTTGTACCAGTGAGCAAAGCGATCATTTTCCTTTATGGAAATGCTGCAATGAAAACAGACCTATTCCTATTCTGTATATGGCCCTTTTTCAGGGAGATATTTGCCGGGTTCAAGATACAGTCAGATTCTGCCTGTCTCTTATAAAACTTCTATCCCAAAGAGGTCTAGCTATGCATGCTTTAATATTGGGTTGTGTCTGAGAGATAATCTCAAGTAAGGATTTAGAAATATTTTAAGTGAAAATAAATGAAATGTGAATTAAATTATACCAAAATGCCAGGCTTTATGCAAGGTGAGTTCTTTGGCTTAAAAGCCTGTCCCTACTGAATGACATTAAATACAGACAGCCCTGCTCCATGCTTGAGTAATACAGGTCACAGTCACCACAGAGAATAATAGCAAGATAAACATCATGCAAGTGCATGACATTACTATCAACTGTGCATCATCTTCTGAACAAGCAGCTTTATTCATAATCACCATATGTCTTCCTATGACAGGACAATTGCAGAAAAAAAAAATCCTAGGCATTTATTGGAATTTTTTTTAATAATTAGATGATTTTTATCATTACTACTAGAACTATTCATGAAAGCTGAAAAAATCATACGTAATGAACAGCAAAGCCACAGCTTGTTAATATTCACATAAAGGGGAAATAGCTCTCCTAAGAAGCAAAATTCTTTTGATTAAGCAGGTTTGATGAATATTGCATAAGGCTTCTGTGCAATGGAGCTAAGTGAGTTTCACTTAAAAAGAGTCTGGCTGTAAGCTGTATCAGTCAGGCAGCTTTCATAGGGTTTGGCTCAGCCAAGTGCTGAGCACCTCAATTTTCTCTCTATTTTGAAGACCTGTGCCTGTAAATTGCAAAAACATGGTATGTTAACGCAACACATTTCAGTACAGGCTAAACATAACAGATCTTGCTAAAAATAGTTACTACTAAAAAGTAATTACAGTAGTGCAGTACTACTTGCCCTTCCTTTCTCCTTATTTCTTTTTCTTGATAGATGTTTGCCTTAAACACACCCTTCTTTCACCTCTATTTCATGAGACCTAGTCAAGGAAAAGAGAGATCAGTTTAGGATGCACTGATCCATTCCACAGATCAGAGTGGGATGCAGGCGGGTAGATTATTTGGTCGTTGCTTGCTGTTCTTCTGTTAAAGAACAGAAGGTGAGCTTAACTTGAATCATGAAAGACACTCCTCTTTGCTAGTAAGCACTTATCTATCACCTGCTCTTGCTGTTTTACAGCTCCAAATAACCTCTGTCCTTTTGATACATTGTCCAGAGTGTATTGCTGTTGCTGGCCCTCCTTTGCGCTATGAAGGGCAGAAGAAGGAGGAATTTTGACTGACAAACAATGAGTCAGCCAGTTAGTCCTGTGCAAATCTTTTAATCTGTAGATTTGTAAACAAGAGAAGATTTATTTCCCTTTCTCTCCTCAAGTAAATCACATGCTTGCTTTTAAAGTGACATACAAAATATCTTTAGAGTTGCAATTAAATTGGTCTCAATACTTTTGCAGAGCAGTCCTTGTCTGAAGGGCATTAGAAAACACTTGCCTATTGTGCACCTGGAAGAACTCTGTAGTGTTCAGAATGTATTACAAAACACTCGTTGGATAGTGCTATAAACTGGGGTTATTGCTTTGCCCTTACTGAGTTGGTGTTGAGGTGTCCAATTTCTTGCTGATTAAAAAACAGTAAGAAAGTATCACTGAAATTAGAGTGAATGACAGAAGAACTTTCGCCTGTATTAAAAGTTTACACCTTCACAACTACAAGTTTGCTGTTGTTGATATTTCTTTGCTACCACCACCAAGAACTTCCACAGCATCTAGCATATGCCTCTGTATCAAACAGAAGCATCGCACAGGCAGACGACATAATTATCAGATGTTGGTGACCAAAATCAGACCTATCAGGGAAGAAGGATTTTATTAACAACGTTTTTGTTTACATGTTAAAGTTTCATATTAACTATATTTTATTTTGCAGGTGATGGGAAAAGTGCCAACCATTTCCATTAACAAAACTGAAGGCTGCCACATCTACCTCAGTGAGGAATCCTTAGATTGTGAGATTGTGAGTGCCAAGTCATCCGAAATGAACATCCTCATCCCTCAAGAGGGCGATTACGTGAGTGGGATATTTTTAAAGATTTCCTTACCCTACCCCATTAGCCATAGTAGCCGTTAGCCTTTAAACTGCTAGGGAAGTAAGAACTAACATAGCGCACATATCACTAAAACACAATTCAAAAAGATTGAATTTCTGCCTACCAATAGTTCAGCTATGAGTGCAGGAAGAACTTTCTCCTGGGGCACAAAGTAAATTCAAAGATAAGAAATTAATTTCTTTCTTTTTAATTTGATAGATGGCTTCATCACCTGTCAATTCAGTTAATATTCTTTTAAAAAATGGTATCTAAACATAATCTCACGAAGAAATTCACTTCACATACACTGTAAGAACACTCTTGCCTTAAAATGATGATGCTAAAGCTAAGATAAAGTACTACAGATCAAATGATATGGTATGATTTTTTTTTCTAAAGCTGTTGATACATGCATAGTATCTGCAGTACTTCCTATGCTTTTTCAAATAAGGCCCCGCAAAGTCACTGAAACAAGAGGGCCATGCATTTCCGGGAGCAAAGGTTCCTTTTTTTGTTCGAATATAGTTTGCATGCTAGGCTCACCAGCATCTCCAGTGGGGTCCTGCCTCTGTCACTGCACGCAGCAGCACAAGTATCACAGAGGTAGAACACACTTTCAGTTGCTTCCCTAAACTAAGCAGTATTGGAATTCCAGAAAGGCCTCATATTTTTTGTAACTCTCTTGGAATGGATTTTTTTATGATAAAGGGGTTTGGGTTTTATAAAAGAAAATACATTTTAAAAGAGAATTTGCATGCTCCACATTTCCAGAAGGGACTACAGGATACTCAGCCTGGCCAGCTAAAAAGGGAATGGCTTTCAGGGAATGCATATTCACCTGCTTCTGAAAAACAGGCCCCTTCCATAAACTGCTCCCAAATCACTAGTCACATCTGAAATTATTGGTTATCAAGATATCCTCTTTAGATCTGAAAGAAAAGCCTTTCCACACTTTTGGTTGGTTGGTTTGATTCCTGAAACCACAGCAAGGACCCAGCAACACCTCCCATAGTTTTAACACCACCTTCCATAGTTCTAACAAATATGCTGCATGGAGGGAGACTTTCTGCAGTGCTTTGTTTCATTTTGTGTATTCTGCCAGGGATACCGTATATTTTTAAGTATATTACACTTTAAATGATAGTGGTTTTATTTTTTTCCTTCCGTACTAGAAAGTATTGCTTTCCTCACTAAAATGGTTGGTCTCACTAGGACTCCATGTTCAAATCATTTCCCCTGCCTTCCAGCCCAGTCACTGGTGGCGTCTAAAGTGACTCTGGGTATGAACTATATTTATTTAGTTGTCCCAAATAATGATGTGAGGGATTATTATGAAGTAGCACCATACCAAGGCTATTTGAAACTGGACAGCAATACAGCTCTTTCCTGTGTGGTATTGTAAAATAGCTGCCTAGGGTAATGAGGAAGACCTCTCTGTAATCCTGACATGTCTGAGCTCTCAATGCCTTGTCAGTCATGTAGCACTAACAGTATTGCACTCGTTTTCATAAAGTAGCCAGTGTGTATCTAACTGGTACTATTGCTTTTGTTTCTTACCAGAAAGAATTTCCGGTTCCTGAACAGTTCAAGACAGCATGGGATGGATCTAAGTTGGTCACTGAACCTGCAGAGATTGTGGGTTAACCTCCTAATGCCATACGATACGTGCTGACCACAGCCAGCATAAGCAAAGCAGTAAAGAGCTACCAGTCGCAGTAGCTCATACTGCTGTGATAAGCCTGCAAGCAGTAGCTCTGCATGCTAGAAACAGTAACACGTCTGGCACGCTTTTCTTAGGCATCCCAGTATTCCTCGAGTTTCCACACAGTTTGCCTTCACTTACGGTTTTGATTCTAAATGATGTCCTGTGAATGTAATGGATTATACCTCCTACCCTCCAGTCCATCATTGGCTTGAAACACTGTAGAGGTTAAGCCAAAATACTGCATGATACTTTTTATTATCATATGGCTTCAGTGCATTCCCTTTTATGTTTCTGCTAGTCAAAAACAGTATTAAGACTTCAATGTTTATTTTTACCTTTAGGCAATTCCGTTATGAAGCAGAAAAAATGTACTCTCAGAAAGTGTGCAATTCCTTGTAGTTCTGTGGCAATCATAATGGATTTTGTTTCAAACAAGCAAAAAGGACAACTTTCAGCAATACATTTTGCTAACAGAAAATAATTAAACAAAAATCCAGGATTTTAATCAAACATTTTTCTAGCATGTATATTTAGAAGATCCCTAAGTTTTCGTGAGATAACATTTTATTACAGTCTATGCAGACTTGCTCTTATTTCTTGTAAATTCACAATTCTCCTTAAGATAAAACCTTACCTAAGCCAAAACTGTGCTGCAAGTTACTTGGATTTCCATTTTTCTTTTTATTTTTTTTTCTTTTTGTTCATGTGTGTGTGTGCGTGAGAGAGAGAGAGAGAGAGACAGACAGACAGACAGACAGAAAAAAAAAAAGCTCTTATCAGGTAAAATTTCACTCTGTATCCTGCATCTCATTAAGAAAACTGAGAGGGTTATTTTGATTTGAGACACAAATCAGCTGGTTTCCATGCTAATATTGTTCCTTTAAGATATTGCTATTGGAGCTCATGTTCATTAAAAATATCTATTTCTCTCCTACATTTGTAAGACTTAGTAAACTCCAACTATGTCCATGAAGCAAAGTCATAAATTTATTTCATATTAATTCTGAGCCCAAACCAGAGAAATAATTTCTTGTTTTGCCCTGTGATTCTACCTTATAGTCCCTATTGTACATGCTTTTCTAACAAAGGTGGAGTGTTGTGTACATTTGTACTATTTCAGCACACAGTACTAATAAAATTTTTAAAAGTTAAAAAGACAGCATATGTTTTGATCACTTGTAATACTTGTAATATCAATGAAATCATAGTGAGATGGTGGCAGAACTAGGTACAGGCTAAACTTTGTGCATAACTTAGCTTGAGAGCACATTAATCTTCAATTTTTTTTTAACTATTTTTGATTGTAATCCTTATACGGTACAGTGAACAGTAGTGCTCATTCTGTAAAGTTTTGTTTTAAAAAGCAAGGTTCTGTATAGCTTTTCTGCTTTAAAATCTGATGTTTTATCTATATTTATAATGTGCCTGCTTTAGTACATACCGTTTTTTCAACAGTAAACTTCTTTTGAAATAAAAAGGAAAATGGAGCTGCTTAAATACAAAATTGTTCAGAGCTTCCTCCATGGCAGCATTTTAATTGTTTGTTTCCTTCTTTAAAAATACTTCTAGAGCTTAACTGAGAAAAAGCAATTTTGCCTTCCTTTCATTAAACATTATCACTTCTAGTGCCATAATCCAGCTGACAGTAAAGAGTGAGATACTTTGCATACTAACAAATAAACTTGCAGTTTTGTGCATATCATCTTTAACAGGCACAGAATTCAGCTTCTCAAGTTTCTCATTTTTAGAAACATCTTTATCTTCCAAAGAGTATGTCTAGGGAGCTGGTCGTGCCCTGATGTAAGTTTATCAGGTTTACTGCCTTCTCTGAGCTTTTCCCATTGCTTCCCTGCAAGGCTTTTGACACGTTCCTCCTGCTTTAACCTGCTCCACATTAAGTAGCCCCACCCTGAGCAATGGTCATCACGTACATACCATGATAGAAGTGTTCATGAAGGACTGCTTAATCCTTAACACAGTCATAATTTGTTCTGTTTAAAAAATCACACTCTAGAGTACTCCGATCTGAAATACTCACTCTTGTTTTTATCCAGCATCAAATAGGGATCAAGCCATTATGCACCAACAGGAAGCCACATAACTCTTTAGAGAGATGATGTAAAACAAGTATCAAGTGTTTGATAAACAGAAAGCAGTGAGACAGCTCAGACTTGCTGCACAGAAATCCCCAACAAACAGACCGTGCCTGCTTGTGCAATTCTTTTTTTAAACATTTGAATATTTGAAATTATACTTTCTCCCAGTCACTGATACTTCTGCAGCATACAAAAACATGAGTGCACTTTTTTTGGCTGATACCCTAGTAGAAACAAGGCTTAATCAGTAATTCTGCATGCATGTCACTCTGAAGACTACAAGAACTTGGCCACAAAGCAGAGAGTGAAATGAAAAGGAGGAAGGTCGTGTGTGGAAACTCCCAAGCTAACTACTTCAACTGGAGAAGGGCTGATGACTTCATGCATTATTAAACACCAGAAATGTGAAAGAGCAGCAAGACATCTTTTATCCAGTATTCACAGTCAGATGCATGACACAAATCTACAACCAACTTTTGTTTGGTGTAGAGCTCTAATCCTTCTGAAACCACTGGTGAAACATTTCAAGTTGATGGACTGTTCCTTTATGGCAACCTGCCTTCAACTTCAAAACTATAAAGGAATACTAAACAAAATAAATCCCAGGTTCTGATTCTGCCTTACATGAGTTTGAATACAGTTAAATGTTAAAAAAAAAGGCAACTTTTCTGAAAGATCAGATGTATCATGAGTTGGAAATGATCAGTGTGCTTGTCACTCTGCATAATGAGGATTCAAACCATGATAAATTACAGCCACCAAGCCTTCAAGAGCGAGCTTGACCTATTTAATGCTTGACTCCAGCAAGGAATGACCTGCTGAATTCCAAGCAGTCCTAATGTGGTAGGGATCGTTCCTTTCTACTCTGTACTGTCATAGAAGATATGCCACACCTTTTCAGCTCTGTATTTCTGTGTCACTTTTGCACTGCAATAAAGTTGTGGCTATGCTGTGCAACTGTCTGAACAGAGGTACATTGGGTGCATATGTCGATATGGAACAAAAAGTGTACAATGTAATTAGGCTGCTTATTTTTTCTAAGCTTGCATGGGTCAAATATTATTGGTATAGATGCTAGGAGACTGCCAATAAATACATAATGTAAAAGAGAAAGAGATCTGTAACTCAGTGTCCAAATACAAAAAGCTTTATTTTCCTACAGAAAGCTTTAATGATGCTCACATGTTGTGACCGCTGTCAATGTATTGTCTTAGTTATTCAGCGTATTGGTTACCAGGAATTAATGGAAGTCAGAAGTATCGGAGCTAGTGCCTCTGTGTATCCACCAGGTGGCAGGAACCCGCTGAGGTGCAGGCCACCATAGGCTCTGTTGCTCAGGCTGAAATGCCACAATAGAGTATTTGGGAAGGACATGTGTACTGAGTATCTAGAAACTCTACTCCCCAAAATCATTCTTAAAACATTAAAGAACCTTTATTTTGAACTTATCATCTTAGTAAAAGGAAAGGCTTTGATGAGGAGTGAAGAATAAAAATATCTGCTTCTTGTTATCAATGATTAATTTGATCTTTTGAACACTGCTAAGCACATTTGCACTGAAAGTATATTTCATTAAAAATTCCCAACTGAATTTAAAAGTATTATCTACCACAGATATTGTAGGTAAAAGGGGAAGGAGTTTTAAGTCTACATTTGAAAACAGAAATATTTTCTATGTGTTCAGCCAAACCATTCATGCTCTTACAATGGATGTTTTGAGTACTTGGTGTACCTTGCCCTGTATGACTTCTTTCAGTGCTGTTGTGTACATGCATGTTCACCAACCTCTGCACCACGATTTTCTTTTCTAGAGATTAGGCACTTGGCTACCTGAAACCCTTCAGGAGTCTAACTCGGCATCCACCCTCATTGTGCTCTCCTTGCAAGCTGCACACTTGGGTTCCTTCTAAAATGTGGAAATAGCTGTCACTTTTTTTTTTTCCAGAAGTATACAGCCACAGGAGATAATGTTCATGGAATGACGTCACACACTAGCAAGCAGTGTAATTATCCAGAATACGTAAAACATCCAGTTCTCCTGCCAGAGGTTATTCAGGCTGATTCCTGTGAAAACATTGCCTATAAAGAGCTATCACCCTGAGAAGGTGCTTGTAAAGAGATAGCTGTCACATATTAAGCAGTCATTAGATAAAAACGTAAGTAACACCCTCCAAGGAATGTTCTGACTACTAGAAAACAAGGATCTTGCTCACTTTTTCTGGCTGAAACATCCATGAAGAGCTTTTGGGGTATAAATTTGTTAAAAAAATAAAGAACACTTTCTACCTTATCTCCCCCCAAAAGTCAGTAGTGAAGCTCTACACTCAACCATACTTCCCTGTGTTTTGCTGCAAACCAAATACCCTTCTGGATCACTTGGCACCACAGACATTGCTTCTCCAAGCCCCTGGGTCCCAGTGTCAGCAGAGTCACACTCCCATTTCCTCTCCAGGTTCACTAATGCACAGGCCAGGGGATTACAGGTATTTGTTACAGTTTCTCAGCATTGCACTTAATAATTTTGTCACACTTCTGAGGAATTTTCTACCTACTCTTAATTCAAACGAGGTCAAAGCAAAAGGCAATGAGAGGAATTTGCATACAACTCCCCAGACAGACAATGCCATGAAATAAAAAAACATGCTAACTTACGTATATTAAGAATTTGGGGGAGTGGATGGGGAGAGGCACTATCGCCTGTGGTCTAGCATGACCACTGGCATTCTGTTTTCTGTACGCATTCTACCCGACGGTGCATTTATTAAAAAGAAACCTCTACTCAGTGGGCCATGCTACCTTTTAGAGGCAATCTCTGCCTCAAAATCCTCAATTGGACAAGACAGATTAACCTTACAGTGACATATTACACTTACTTAATCTGAGAGGCAGCTATGCCACCCCTCTGCACTGTAATGCATAGTGTTTTACTTTCCTGTAGATACATAAGCTTCATTTTTTTTTCAAACGCCAAGGTCTGTATCTGGTTGCTTGCCCCAGCAAAGGGAAAAGTTCTCGCTCTCTGGTGACTTTGTGTGTTTCAGAAATGAAGAGTCACTTTAACCAAGGTCGGCATTTAAATTTCATTCTGCATATGACCATACATACTTGTTCTAAATTGGATGAACATATGTAGGTCGCATATGACCAGACATAACACTAAATGAGCACTGTGGAATGACAGCAGGTTGCTTGGTGATAAATATCCAACAACTCTCAACCTTCCTGGACTGCTATTAAGGCACTATAATGTGAGGCAGATATGGTATGAATGCTCCAGGCAAAGGAAGGTATTAAGCCTTCTGCCTTGAAAACAAGATGCTGGGATGTGGATCAAAAACGAAACTCTGTAGCTCTGAACAACAGCCAGATTTAAAGCAGACCACTGCTTTATTACTTCCTACTGGCTGCATTACTTAATAGTGATAGATCATGTTTTTCAGCACCTATCTATATATAAAGAGCTTAAGATGGGATTCTTAACTACTGCAGCATCATCTTTTAGGGGTTTAACTCCTTTTTCTGCATCTAGTTCAAAAGGTTTCCTCCTGCCT